AATTAACGTAAAATTGATTTCAAGCCAACAATCTTCATAATCTTATCAGCCTTGTCGATAAATTGGTCTTTTGTTAACAAAGGCAGGCAGAATTATGTCAACTGTACAAATTTGGCCTGAACGTCTTTGTTCCTTTTGTCAGAATAAACAAAGTTTCTCTGGCATCAGCAAAGCGAGGACCCTTTCACAAAATTCACTCCAGCTTCCTTCTTAAACGCATACGAAAATATTTTCGAGGTGCCACACTCACGGTTTCGACTTGGAATCGGTAAACACTGCATTTTAGAAACAAATATATTTACAGAACAATCATTTGTCTAAGAGTGTTGTTTTCACGTAACGCTTCAACTCGAAATGTAAAGCGATGGATGAATGAATGGATTCGTGTGGCCTGTCCCTGCGTTTTCTTTGAAAGAATCAAAACTGTCAATCAGTACCTGAATAACTGCCTGCAGGTTGCATGAATGGGACAGAGCAGGTTTAGTTATCAATGGAGCACATGACAAGACGTGTGGACGTGGCCGACTAGAAGGACGTTTTTAATGTCCGGCCAGCAAGGTAGGACGAGAAGGTTTTCACCAGGTACGACGGGAAGTTGTGATTCGAATATGTTATAATAGACGTAAATTGATACTTGAATGTGTGGTTCCACGTGGAATTGTGTACAAAATGCGCATTGCACAGTTGTAACGAACTCCTTCCGTAACTGCAGGACACACCAACTCCTCTGTTGTGGGGAAATCATTTTCAAAACTAGTGGCAACTACCTGAGGCATGTAAAAATATTTACCCGAGAAGACGTTCAGTTTTCCTTCGACCGGTTTGGGTATAAAGTTCTAAGTACACTGCATTTGCTATCTGCATCATTTTGAAGATGAAAGTTTCTTTTGTAAGATTTGAGGTTTTCACAGCAGTGAGTATGAAGATACTTGCTTAACTTTACATTTAACAAGGTATGGAAATTACTGCTTGAAGGAGAGTTGTTTTATGTTTATATAAATGTAGCTCCATTATCTCTACACGACAACACTTTTTATTTCAGATTAAATAATTCACTTGGAACAATGATAAAATTCTTGTACAAAGTATAAAAGAGGGTAACAGTAAATTTAAAAGTAATAATATAAAATTGTTATGCATAAGAAAAAGGGATAAGAATAGTGGGTCAAAATATGAAAACAAAAAACAACATATTTCAACTTATTACATTTATAAATTCAATATATTCTATTGAGTAAAATATGTTTCCATGGCAATGTCAAAAAGGAAACTGGCTTGCTGCAAGATTCCTCTGAATGTGGAGACAGTATGTTTCTCTGAAATGCTGGTATCTAGCTAAGAGTCTACATGACATCAAAATCCAGATCATACTCACCACTGTGAGAACCTAAAATCCCTTAACACACAGCCTATTCAATTGCATTAGGTGCTAGATAAATCGCAGATCAATTTGCTAGTATTTACAGTGTTTTAAAAGCAATCTGACAGAATAAAGAGTTGTAAATAATTTTCTGCAACAGCAATCTCTAGAAATTGCACGTCAGGTGTAACTTAAGCTCTACAAAAAGAATGACCTAGACATGTTGTCATGAAAAGTACTGTATTGTGTGAGGCACTGTCAAATAAAACAAACAAATTTTGGCTTCGCCAAACTAATTCAGGTCGTACTCTGTAGGATTTGAAGTTTTCACGGCAGTGAGTCTCAAGATGTTTGTCTTCTAACCCATGCGCCATGTAGTCTGGTAGAAGATATCCGTCTTCTGGGTTATTGCGCTGTGTAGTCTGGTCGATGTTAACCAACGTTTCAGAGGTCATACTGCCTCCGTCATC